AATTAGCTGTGATTAGGACACTGTTCCTCATTTCTTCCACAAGCGATGCACCCCTATCAGAAGTGATGGATGCTCCTTGACGGTCCTTAGCAAAGATTAAGTGATGTGGCTGAGGACCTCTCCTAAGTTTAGGAGCTATGGATTTGAATCTTCTCAGCCAAAGCCAAGCAAGAACAAGTTTATTGCATCTTGGGCAAATTCTGCAAACCTGCTGGAAAAGTAAGCATGGAGATCCTACCCCCACCAACACCATCTGGAAGGACGGGAGCAGCGCCTGTGACTTTGGGACTTGTGTACAGAGCTCCCGTGACAGTCACGGGGGTGGGGATGCTCTGACAGAAGCTTTGCACTGCTGGATGAAGTTCCAAAATCCCCTTTATATTGCTACACAGCATCTTCAGTGCCGTAAGCTTTGCAAAACACTCTGTAGCCCACAGAGCCTCTCACAGCTCTTTAATCTTTCACCTAAGCAACAGAAGGTTTTTCCTTTCTTGTTGCTCTCCTGCTGTTATTCTCCCACGTATATTGTTGCACCTGCAAGCCCAGGATTATTATGGCAGGGTCTCTGGGAACCTGGAAATATTCCCACTGGTGGAAGATTCACCCCTTCTTTACTCTCTCTTTCTTCCCGCTCAATTGCAGCCTTTGGTTTACACTAGGGGGGCAAATAATAGCCTGAATAAAGTTTACCACCAAACCAGTATGCAGCACCTGCCGTGGATCAAAGCCTGTTCTAATCGGCACTAACTGCATCACAAGCAGGAAAAACCCAACAGGGAGTTTGGGTCCAGGTGAAAACCAGACACTTACTAAGGGAAAGATATTATGGGGGGATTCACCTGCTGCATTGGATCCAAGTGAGCCCAACTAATTTGAAGCAAGTTCAGAATGTCAGGGTTTTTCTGTGTTACCCCGAAGATCAGAGAATCACAGAATTGTTTAGGTTAGAAAAGATCCTTAAGATCATAGAGTCCAACTGTTACAACTGTTAACCTAACACTGCCGAGTCCACCACTACCCCATGTCCTGAAGCACCACTTCTACGCGTCTTTTAAATACCTCCAGGGACGGTGACTCCACCACTTCCCTGGGCAGCCTGTTCCAATGCTTGACAACCCTTCTGGTAAATAATTTTTTCCTAATATCCAATCTAAACCTTCCCTGGAGCAACTTGAGGCCGTTTCCTCTTGTCCTATATGTTGTTACTCAGGAGAAGAGACCAACACCCACCTCGCTACAACCTCCTTTCAGGTAGTTGTAGAGAGTGGCAAAGTCTCCTCTCAGCCTCCTGTTCTCCAGGCTAAACAGTTCCCTCAGCTGCTCCTCACAAGACTTGTGCTCCAGACCCTTCACCAGCCTCCATTGCCTTCCCTGAGTTCCAGCCAAAGCTCTCCATTCAGCCAGGCTGGTTGTCTTCCCCTCCCCTCCAGCTCATCTTTCAGTGCATGGGGATGGGCTGCTTCTGCACCTTTAAGATTTCCTTCTTGAGGAGTGTCCATCCTTTCTGGACTCCTCTGCCCTTCAGGACTGCCTCCCAAGGGACTCTGTCAACCAGGATCCTAAACAGGCCAAAGTCTGCCCTCCAGAAGTCCAAGGTAGCAGTTCTGCTGACCCCCCTCCTTACAACTCTTTCATTTTGTGATCACTGTGCCCAAAACAGCCTCCAACCATCACAAAATAAGCTGCTTCTACCATTTTTTTCTCTGCATTAACATTATTTCATCACCACAATCACCAGTAAGAGCAACTAAAATGGGCTGTAGCTTAAACAAATTGAATTAGTAGAGAAAAACTGATTTGCAAACTACCTTCCTCTCATAACTTCAAATAGCAATTACAAACTTTGTTGTTGTGAGAAATTTAACATCTGACGGATAGCACAAACCATAGTCTTGAAGGCTGAACAGTTTACAATGACCTGAACACAGCAGTAAAAATTTTATAGCAAAATACTTCACTGACACAAACAACTCTGGACCCTCTTTCAGCTTCATCAAAACCAAAACTTCTGAAAGCCAGGAAATGTACCATGTTAAGACATAGCCCATATGCTCCTCACCCAAGAAACAAGAGGAATTATCTGCAAACACAAGAACTGTGGTCACTAGGCAAAGGGCCGTGTTATGAGAGCAAAAATAACTCTGGCAGTGATGCAAGGGAATCTTGGGAATTTTGCTCTTAACATACACAGGACTGGGACCACCATTCGTCTCCATCCCCACTCCTGCCTGCTTGGCCCCACGCCTCCCCAGCCTCCCTCTTTCTTTCTCTTCCTCTGTGGGATTTTGCAGGGTGCAACTGCAGCTTCCTGTGCCACAGACTTTAATAATTCTGTGCTGGCAATTTTGCAGTAGGTCCCCACTGCTCCTGAGCAAAGAGCATCTACCCATACAGTTTAGGAAAGCCAGGTCCTATTGCTAGGATTAGCATTTTTAGAAAAAATGTACTAGTACACTAGGAAATATCACAGAGATGAAAGTAAAATACTGGCGCTGAAAAGAGCAAACAACACTGTGTGTCAAGTCTATAATCTATATTTATAAACTATGGTTAAATGCCACTGTCTCCTGCTCGACCTCAACCACCATCCCCAATCCAATAACTTATACCAGCGATTTTATGAACTATGATTTCAAATCTAGTATGTTGACTAGAATTCGTTAATATGCATTTAACAGTCTACTGTATAATAAAAACCCATGAGTATGTGTTTCTATAACATTAAGCAGCAATAAGTGTGTCAATGCCCTTCAGTGTCTTCGCAGGAGCAGGGCAGGTAAACAGATACATTTTCACTTCTGAGAATGAGGAAAGTAAAGCAAATATGCTTTCATTTTATATTTGATTTGACCATCGCTATCCTTAAACACAGAAATGTCCTACCTACTCTCTACAATTTTTTTTTTTTAAAGTGACTGACAATTTTTAATCAATTGTGTATTTTTTCCACAAAAATGTTAATTAAATATGAATTTTCAGACTGGTTTAGAAACGACATTTAATCATTATAACTAGTTTCTTGGAAAAAGGCATTCAAAATAGTTCTGCGGGTGAAAGATTCAACAGAGCAAAACCACAGTACTTAATTAAAAGAAAAAAATCTAAAAAGGAGTTTAAAAAAAGGACATTTGAAAGCAAATTTCATCCCTCAACTAACCCAAGAAATAATGAGAAAGAAAAGAAAGGAAAAAAACCCCCAATGTTACATCTGTATACTGATTGTTCAACAGTCTCAACATGAACTGGGTGTCAGAGACATTTAACAGAACAAAAATAATAAATACCAAAGTTCAGAAAGCATCACAGTCTTTTGCTAAAAAAAAAAAAAAAAAAGAGTCAGAAATATCAGGTTTTCCATCAAAATTTATGATTATATTATGCCAACACAACCACAGCATTATTTATAGACATACTTATCAACTATTACAATAGGTAAAGCAGAAGTTAATAGACTATATGTGTAGAGAGAAAAACCAGTTAAAAGAAACCAGTAAGTTATCAATAAAATAAGAAAGGGCAGACCACTGAGCCAGATTTAATTCTTGTAAAATATATTAGACAACGGAAAGGAACTGAATATTTGTGTCAATTCCACAGGCCTGGAATAACATGCTACTGAAAAAACTGAATACTGATACAAGATCTCCTGGGGGATGTGTGGGTGAGAAGGTTCAGAGGTCAACTTGAAGCAAAAAATCAAGAGTTTTGGAGTATAATTTGCATGTTTACAAAATCACCTAAGCTTGAAGTTGAACCCATAATTTGTGTTTACCGTTCCCATGTAAATTCTGGGTAGATAATACTTAAAATATTCTAACATAAATGTATACCAACTTTTTATGGTGCATCAATTCAATAAGAAAAAAACTACATCCAAAATTTTGAATAATTATTTGGACTACAGGGAAAATCTTGGTCCCACAGAGGTCAAGAGCAGAACTCCCTGGTGTGGTTAAATTCCCAGTATGGTATGGGTAAGATGTATGTTTAAGATACCCATACTTGATTGTGTAAATGAAAAAGCCTAAATGTCAACTCAAACATCTAATAGTAAATGGAAACTCATTCCTTGAAGGCATATTCTTCCACTTCCACACACAAACAGAAAAATAAAGATCACAGAAACATAAGGCAATAAAAAAACAAACCAGAAAGCCGCAGTTTGAAGACCAAACTTTTCTTTACTTCAAAAATATTTCTTTATATCCAAATTCCAAGTTGTTGTACTGCAATAGGAATAAGCAATCATAAATTTAATTTCTCTTGATCATTTGAATCCCCTGGCAAACTGAGCTCAGGCACAACAGCTGGCTTTCAGTGATGACCTTGGTTACCTAGTCTTCTGTCTGGGTCCATTACAATGCAAAGCAGTCAAGAAATAAGCCTCAGGGTCATGTAATCCATTTTCCACCAAACTGAATTGCCTCATGATCCAACATTATCCAATAATGAATGAATTTGCCCATGATCCACCACAAGAACTCTTCAGAGTATATGTGGAATTTTTTTAATTTTCTTTTAAGATGAACACACAAAAGTATTGCAGTTACATAACTGAATTTGCTTCTTAAAGTTCTGTAGAACTTAAGGTCAGCTTGCTAGTTAATAAAGTAGAAAGCTGAACTAAAACTGACAGAAATTGGAGTACTGCAAATGTCTTTTTTAAGCAGGAATTATGCCTTGGCTGGAGCAGCTGTTTTTCATTCTTGACCTTAAAACAGGACACGTGAAAAACGTACTTCATCCCTTCTTGCTTGATGATGTTACAATCCAGCAGTTAAATACTGTCTATCATCTTTTGCATACTTCAGTCCATTTGTACATGGCCAAACGATTTGAAAACCAGCAAATATCACAATCACAATTTAGTCACTGGTAAACTAACTCTTAAAAGATTTCTTAGAACTAAAATGCGGCACCCTCATAATTAGGTAGTGGGATTCTTCTGCATTGGTTGCACCAGAAGATTGCTGTTTTAGTAAGTTTCAATGATAAACACTTCAAGCGGGAGGTACTGGCAGTCGTCTTACTATTTCCATAGCTACCTTTAGATAGGCTTTAGCCTGCAAAAACAGAAACATATATTTAGTACCTTTCATTTTCTATAAAAATAAATGTTTTACATCTCATTAGGTATCTGTTCTGTTACATACCTTCAAAGAAAACCAAAAATGCTACAATAAATAGGTTCAATTTAGCCAGTTTTGCGTTCAGGAAAAATGATGCATTAATACATAAAATAAGTACAAGCATTATTTAAAATATTGGAGGGGTGTAAAATTTAACTTCGGTATTATTCTGAGAATAGAACTTGACAGAAAACTTGTCTTAAACAGCAAATAGAACCAATAATCTTCTGGAGGATAAGTGCTGGGAAGGAGAGACTCTTTAGTCCCACAGGTACTATTAATTATAAACGTCCCTCACCCTGATGATTGAGATGCACTGTGCACAGAATTGAGATAAAGAATCAGAAAAAAAAATTACTTTTTTTTTTTGAGATAATTAATTCATTATGGACTAAACTACAGTACTGAATTTCCTATACATACATTAAAAATTATTTACAAAAAATATATATATATTTCCAAAAGACTGAAGTGGGTATTAGAAAGAACTAATTCTGCAACATTAGAATCCATACAGGAAAATCTCTGCCTCACACCAACCTGTGTCAGATACCATCAGCTGCAGGGCAGAAGAGCACGGAACTGTAAGACTATTGGCAGCGACCCAAATAAGCATACTTTATCTCTGCAAACATGACACAGCTAGGACCATGATCAGTCTAACATCAAGTATTCATAAATTTAATGTCAAGAGACATGTATAAAAACACTGCCTAAGGTCCAACACAGAACAAATCACAAAATGAAACCAAATAATTCCTGTACCAAGTTCAACAACTTGCAGTCAAAATGGAACATGCCTTAGAAATGTCTCCAATCTTGATATAAAGATTTTTAACTACAGAGTACCTTTGTGCATGTTTATATCTCTCATACATTGTTCCAGAGGTTGATTACTTCCATTGTTAAAAATGTACACCTTATCTGTAATTTTAAGTTGTCATGCTTCAGTTTCCAGCTGGTGCATTGTGTTCTGCGTTCGTGTAGTACAATAGGAAACTGCCCCACTATTCAGCTTGCTCCTACTCAATTAGACTGTAACAAACTACTTCTTCATAAGTCTGCATATAAAGTCCACATTTACAACTTTCCCTGTGTTTCTGGAAGAAATCACCAGAATATCCCCTACTGCACCAAACTCTCCTGCCTCCTGCAGCAATCTTAGATGGCTGTAACCTCGAGTTAGACTTTGCATCCCTGATGAGCCTTTAAAATAGTAAGCAAGATGTCAAATGCCTGAGGTCAGAGCCTGAGGAGCAGGAAGAGAAGGTCTGTCTCCCACTGGGGCCCCCACCACCACCAGCCACTGAACCAGGCAGCAGCCTTTTGCAAGGCCAGGCACCCCTAATGTCTCTCCTCTCTTCTGGGGTTTGCTTCTGGCTTGTAGGGTTTTCTTTTCCAGCACTCCCAGCCTCAGTGCCTCATAGCCTCAGTGCTCTCATCACCTTAAAACTTAAGTCATGTAATAGATTAATTTCTGAGTCTGTAAGGAATGCAAGACACCAAGCAAGAATAGTTTTCTCCCATATGCGTGACTTTGTGGCAAGGACTACAGAATTTAAGTTACAAGCATGAAATTCAAACTTCTATGGGTAAAACTGAAGTGCAGTTGGGTAGCACAGCTGTGCTCACGTGCAACACTCACCACACTTAGCTATTAGTTCCCTGGGTGGTCCAGCTACTGCCCAGCTAGCCACCTGCCCAGATGAGAGGTAATGGACCAATTTGAAATAAGGTGATTGACTGAAGCCAAGCTGCCTTTGCAGTGAAGTGTTCAACTAATCAGTGTAGGAGCACTATCTTGAAGAGTCCCACAGGCAGCTCCCACTTTGCACAGAGTAATTAATGTGTTTTAATAAGCCAATTAACAACCCGCATGGAAAATCTGGTCCCTTCTAGAGACAGCCCAGGCTGCTCCAGAGTTGACCAAACTGTACACAGAATTATAAATACACCACAGAAATTGTTCCTGCAGGTGCAGAAATAGTAACATAGGACAGTGGGTTTGTACATAGTTAAGAGAGGAGACATTCTGTACATAAATAAAAATAATCAGCAGCAATGGATCATGCCTATGCTGTAGTAGTCCATGGACTGTGGACTAGCTGCACTGTTAAAACCAAACTAAACATCAGTTTCAGGGAGTCTCATTTGATCCAGCCAAAGACGGCATTGGCAAGGGTCCCTGGAACACAAACTGCCATAAGGATCCAGGCAGCAACCAGATGTCCTGCTTGGGAGATTTGATTGCTTGTGTAAGTGTTACCCTATGTCAAGATCCCAATAAACTAGACTTTCTCCCCAAAACACTGTTCATTAGTATCTTGGCAAGAATTTTACAACGTACACTAACTCTAATTTGCCAAGTAGCTGACCTGTCACTTCATAACAGGAAGTTCCTGGTGCGACTCTTTGTAACCAGCATGCTAATATTACCTAGCCCTAATATGATCAGCAATCGGTCTTACCTGCTAAGCATCCTTTTTTTATCTTCCTAGACCACTACTCTACGTGTTAAACAGAACAGTATCTCAAATATGTCCTTGTAGAACTCTACTGTAACCTCTCTTTGACAAAATCAACTGTTTTGAGGCTTAATTTCCTATCTTGGAACATATCATATGAGTGAGGACCTGCCTATGACAGCAGTAATATACATCAACATACGTGAAAGGTCTAAATGAAATCTCAGTGATTGTCAACATACCCTTCATCACATAAAAACAACCCTACATGTATTGAACATTTTCTCCTACTCATGATCTTTTCCATGTGGCATCTATAGATGGAGAGCACAGCTCAGTTCAGCTGTTTAATCCGTCATTACTAAGCAAAAGAAGGTGGGTTGCAACTGAAAACTGTGGGGTTTTAATTTTCTTCTTGAGTGGCAAGCCAGAGGAGAAATTGAAGGATGAGTTCTTATTCATCACTCACAACCATTTTCATTTTAATAGGATAAAAGTGAACTTTACAGATCAGCTTTTCCCATTATGGTTTGGAAGCTGTGAAGGAATGGTTTATAGAATGTCTTTCTAAAAGCATTTTTTTTGCAGATGGACAACTTTATATTTAACAGTAACATATCAGTTAGCTGAAAGCCAAACATTCTCGCTGCTTTGAGAGGATGAAGGAGAAGTGCCCAGGAAGACAGAATGCCCTAAAACCAGACCAGACTTGTTCATTATGAACACTGCCTAGACAGGGGCTGAGAGCAGCACTGGTGAGGGC